AAGAGGTGAAATGGAGGAACAATAATAAAGTAGATTAAATTGGAGGGAGAAATAGGAGATGGTGCTAATTGATTCCTATAATTATGAATAGGAAATGTGGTACTCATCTCTTCCTTGAAAATAAATTTGACGGATGAGCATAAGAGTAGTGGCTTCTCTACTATCTTTTTGTAGTAGAGAGGATCCAAATATAGTAAGGATTCTATCAAGAATATCCTATCAAAATAGGTGATCTATATTATTCATAGGTAGATAGATGATTAGTTTTAGAATAATAACTCTTCCATTTATCATGTAGATACCCTGCTCTTATAGGAATGATTCTAATAGGATTTCTACCGTCTCAACTTCACCCATAATAAAGCATAAAATGACAATGTGAACTCACAAACGTAATTTAAGGGACGAAACAGGTAAATTCATGCTTTAGAGGTGTAGTTGAGACAGTAGAATCCTATCACAACTACCCCTATAAGAGCAGGCGATGTATAACGTAAATGGAAAAACTATAATTCTCAAACGAACCCTCTAACTAAGAGTGAATGATACGGATCACCCTCTTTTTCCGGAGGTATTCTATATAATAATAATACTTAGGGCCTGTTTAGATTTGTAGGGGGGTGAAGGGAAGTTAAGGAAAACTGAGAGAAGGGAAGGGAAGGGAAGGGAGTTCCCTTCCCCTTGGTTACACCCCAATTTGGGGGTAACAAATTTTATGCTATTAGGGGGTGAACCAAGGGAAACTATGGTGAATTAACTTCACCTCCTAAGTGTTCCCAAACAAGGTGAATGGAAGTGAATGGTTCCCCTAACTTCCCTTCACCTTCATTCCCCTCAATCCAAACAAGCCCTTAGTTGAGAATCCAAGATGTACCAAAGCTACATACCACACGGGTCGGATCCTCAAAGTCCAAACCCAATAATCCCCCTTTCCTTGTACGAGTATTAATGCATCCCTTGGCTTTCTTTCACCCCCTCGCAAGCAGCAACGTAGAAACAAACCACCCCCCACAAGAACAAAACCCTAGCAGGAAAAACCATGGCTGCATGGCTGCAGCGGCCCCAAACCCCTCGGCCTTCGGAGGCCGCACCAGCGTCCGCGTGGTCGTGATCGGCGACGCTGGAACCGGCAAATCGAGCCTCATCACCTCTGCCGCCACCGAGAATTTCGCCGAGAGTGCCTCCAGGGTCGTTCCGCCTACCCACCTACCCGCCGACTACTACCCCGACCGCGTTCCCCTCACCGTCATCGACACGTCCTCCTCCAGGTACGCTCTCTACTCTCTCTCTCGCAACAGTCTCAATGTGGTGATCTTTCTCTTTTGTAGCCCTGAGGACAAGAGCAAGACTTTCGCCGAGTGCCAGAACGCAGACGCCATCGTGCTGACCTACGCTTGCGATCGCCCGTCCACGCTGGATCGGCTGAGTACCTACTGGCTTCCGGAGCTGAGGAGGCTGGAGGTGAAATATTATTTTCTTGATTTTTTTTTATTTGCTAGGGTTTTCGATGTTTGTTGTGATGATGGTTTTTTTTTCTTGTTGTTGTCGTTGGGTAGATTAAAGTGCCGGTGATTGTGGTTGGATGCAAGTTGGATCTTAGGGATGACCAGCAGATGAGATTGGAGCAGGCTATGTCGCCGATTATGCAGCAGTTTCTGGAGATTGAGACTTGCGTTGTATGTTCTTCCCTCAGGCAAATTCAGGTACTTCAAAAGATCCAACCTTTGACATTCTAGATTGCATTATGATTGATTATTTTAGGGATTATGTGGAAAGTTTGTCGCAAATAAATCCCACATTGTTAATATCACGTAATAATCGTTTCCCCGTGTGTTTTCCCCCAAGGTTTGGATCTTGCTTGGGGGTATTGTTAATTTTGACTGAGAGCGCGCGGAGACGGCTGCATTATAAGAAATCATGATAAGTTAAATGGTTAGAAGGCTTCTCTGGAATTTGGTTTTGAAATTTTGCTCCGCTGAAATGGTATTTATGGACTTGTATGATAAGATGAGATTTTTTTTTGGTAAATAAAAATTTTATTCATTTCCAATATGTAAAAGGTATATACATCAAGAATCTCACTGCCAAAATGTGAGATAACACCTTGCAGCTCTCAATAATAGAACTCTGCAAAACAATTCCAAAAAAACATCAATTTTGGTAAAACCTGTATATGAAACACACAGTATAATCCTATACTCGAGCAAACAAAAACAAGTTCCTCCTTTAATCCCTCTAAGCATTAACCTCCACACCATGAGAGATTCCATTTCATATCCTGCATTCTGGCAACACAGTGACTTGTTCATCTGAGCTCTACAAGGAGAGAACCCATCCTCTACATTCAGTCGATAGGGATTTGTTCAAGATAATTGTGATGATATCCAACTTAATGCTTTTGATCAAACTATCAGTTGATCTATTCTCCATCTTGAAGATTCTAGAATTCCTTTCTCTCCAAATATTGTAGACTGTAGCAGCTAATGCCATCCTCTTAATTTTTTGCTTAAACCCACTACCCCTCAATCTAAAACTATACCAGTTCATGAGGGAAGACCATTCACAGCACCTCCATTTGAATTTAAGTCACTCCATTATATCATTCCAAACATAATTCGACATTGAGCATTCAAAAAAGAGATGATTACGACTCTCAGTACTTGCCATCGCACAGCTTGCAAACTGAAGTCTGAATGATCCCATGCTTGAGCAATCTATCTTGAGTTTGGCGTTTATCTTGAACTGTCAGCCACAAGATGAACGAGTGTTTAAGATAACTCAATTTTTCCCATACTGTGTCATACCAAGTAACTTGTGTATTTACAGGATGTAAACAGGAATATAAACCAGAGAGTTGCATTTTTGAATTGACACAGCAAGAGTTGATAAGTTGCTTGAGATTATCGATTCCTCCATACAAATCCAGACACTTATCTCTGACTTGCAATAGTTTTTTCCACATCCAAGAATCCCCCTTTCTAGCATTTACCTACCAAATACTCTTGTTTTTTAGGTAATTCTCATGTATCCATTTAATCCACAGTTGTTCCTTATTCATGTGAATAATCTAAAGAAGTTTTAATGCAGCAGCAGTGTTCCAAAGTTGAGCCGAAAAAATCCCCAAGCCACCATGTTTCCTTTGCACACAGACTTTACTCCATGATACAAGAGAAGCCTTGAATACCTGATCTAATTTGCCCTATAAAAAACTCCTACATAGCTCATCAATCTTGTGTAGAATTTTAACTGGAAGAATATAGCTAGATGTCCAGAAAATTTGGACACCCAATATAACACTTTTGATTATCTAAATCCTACCTGCATAGGACAAATGCTTATTTTTCAGGCAACTTCGGAATTGATTGGAAATCTTCATGATCAAAGGATTGCAATCCAAGTATGACATCTTTTTGTAGATTAAGGGGAGGCCTGGATATTTAATAGGCAGAGTTCCTTCAGGGAAACTCAGAGAATTGCTAATGGCAAGCTTTGTTGCTTCCGATACACCACCATAGAAGATAGAGCATTTAGTAGGATTTGCCTCCAAGCCAGAACAAGCTCCAAAAGATTTTACACATTGAAAGAGTTTGTTCACCGAATAATAATCCCTTTGCAGAAAAGAAGTAAATCATACGCAAATATTAGATGTGTTATTTTTAGCTTTTTGCACTTAGGGTGGAATTTGAAGTTTGTATCATTCTTCAGCAGGTTCATACTCCTTGTCAGGTATTCCATTCCAAGAATAAAAAGATAGGGGGAGAGAGGATCCCCTTGCCTCAGTCTTCTTTGTCCCTTAAAGAATCCATGTAAACTTCCATTTAGGGAGATAGAATAGTTAGGATTAGAAATACAACTCATAACCCATTTGATAAAGACCAGAGGAAAACCCAGCCCCTTCAAAATCTCTTGCATAAAATCCTAACTTATAGAGTCAAAAGTCTTTCTGATATCTATGTTGATCATAATCCTTGGTGATAGGTGTTTCCTTCCGTAATTCTTCACCAGTTCATGAGCAAGTAAGATATTATTTAAAATTTGTCTACCCTTCACAAATGCGCTTTGAGCCTCATTGACTATACTCCCAATAACAGGCTGAATTCTAATTGCTAAAATTTTTGAAATAATTTTATAGAGGCAATTACAACAAGAAATAGGTCTAAAGTTAGCAGGTGTTTTAGGATATTTTATCTTTGGAATGAGAGTGATTGAAGTGGAATTAACAGCTCCCAACAGTTTACCTGTTTTAAAGAACTCTTTGTTGGCCTTCTTGTTTTGATGATGTTTAACAAACAATTTATCACTAATATTGTTTGTCTAGTATTTGTGTTTTCTTATTTATTATAGACAAACAACGTAGTTGGAGGATGGATGGAATCGAGCATTCACGGTCATATCAAATGGAGGTTGGTGGAATTATGGAGTGAAGCTTATGAAATTCAAGTTCAAGATCCAAGTTCAGCTTCATCCGTATAGTGTACCAAGTCAAGCTTATTGAAGATCAAGATTGCTTGGGTATATTAGTTTAGATTTATATTATGTGTGTTCAATACTTTAAGCTCAATCATATACACACATACACGTATTTGGTTTTATATATATAGTTCATATATATAAATACAAGTTTTGATTTTCTAGTTTAAATATGAAACAAATACATATTTATATATATATACATGTTTGTTTTTATATGGTTAAGTTGTTTTGGTTTAGTTATGTAGATATGAAACAATATATATCTTCATATACACTTTTATTTGTTTCATATTCTATTGTATTTAGAAAATATTATGTTTATAGATTGAAGACTTGTTCACACTATTTTCATATCTCGTATAATGTCTACAAATCCATTCTAAAGTGTTTCCAAGTTGTTTGAACTCGTTTTTGAAAAAAATCAAGTTTTTTGTTCATGTACGTGCATGTGTCCGTGCATGTTTTTACAAAATAGATACGTTTTCACAATTGGGAAATGAGATTTGAAAATTTTCTTCGTTCACATATTTATTATCATATATATAAACATTTTCCTAAGTTTTACTAATTTTGGAGTTGTTTTGTTATTTTTACTTGAATTTACAAAACCGAGTTTTCAGCAGTTTTTCAGAAACTGTTTATCTGTGTTCAAACATTTATTTCTCTCAACTGGGAAGTGATTTTTCAGAAATTCTTTCTTTAACATGTTCATCTACATGTCTAAAACATTTCCTCAAAATTTTATGATTTTTAGAGTTGATTTACTATTTTTAATTAATTTTACAAAATCAGAGACGCAGAAAAATCAGATCTGCCAGACTGCTACAGTACCCACGGTCGACCACTACAGTCGACCGTGAAAGTTACTGTAGCATAACGGCTATATTTTTCTGGTTCCAATTTTTTGGGGATTTGCATCGTTTTTGGGCTTTTTTTTGACTTTGGGTTGTTGTCTTGAGTTCTTATAAATACCCATCATCCCTCAACACTTATACATAACAAGAGAATGTTTTAAAGAGTTTTAAAAAGAGTTTAAGCTTGTTTTAAGCTTGTTTAAGGGTTTGGTTTATGAAGAAAGTTTTACAAGAGCTTGAGTAGATTATCAATTATATTTTGGGCATTCAATCCATCTCTCTCTCTTGTCATCTAGAGAAGTTTTTCTAAACTCAACTCTAGCTTTTATTTATAATTATTTGTTGATTATCATTTCTATTAAAGATAGTTTTATATTGAGTTTAGATTTGATTTTATCTCATTGTTACACCTATCCACTTGAGCTTATTGTATTTGCATACATAGTATATTAGGGTTGTGAGAGATTGTAACTTTGAGTTGTGCTTAATTGAGTTCTCTCGTTGTATGAGAGAACAAATCATTTATTGTTAAATTGTGAGATTATAAGGTTTTCGGTGAGCTAGAAAACCGAGTGTGTTGTGAAGTTTTCGGTGAACTAGAAAACCGAGTGTGAGGAGTGAACGTTATTCGGTGAGCGTTGAAAACCGACACTGTGAGGTGTAAACGTTATTCGGGTGAGCGTAGAAAACCCTGTTGTGATAGTGGTTTTCTCCCCGGGAGTGGAGAGCGAAGACGTAGGACGGAAAGTCCGAACTCCGTGATCATATCGTGTGTTTTAAGTTTGCTTTGACGCACTTAATCTTATGTTTATATTTCTTATCGCCATTGTCCATAGCTCATTATTTATATCATCCACTATATCTTATGTTTATATTTCTTATCGCCATTGTCCATAGCTCATTATTTATATCATCCACTATCTAGTTTATTTTGTTTACTCTTATATTAGTTTATATATCCTTGCATATATATTTCATCATATAGGATATATCTCATTGTTTACATTGCTTATCCTAGCTCATATATCTTGTGGTATTTCATACTTGCTAGGATAACTTGTTAATTAAGTTTTAATTGACATATAATCGGATTAGATTAGCTATAATAGATTAAGAGTTTAAGCTTGTTTTAAGCTTGTTTAAGGGTTTGGTTTATGAAGAAAGTTTTACAAGAGCTTGAGTAGATTATCAATTATATTTTGGGCATTCAATCCATCTCTCTCTCTTGTCATCTAGAGAAGTTTTTCTAAACTCAACTCTAGCTTTTATTTATAATTATTTGTTGATTATCATTTCTATTAAAGATAGTTTTATATTGAGTTTAGATTTGATTTTATCTCATTGTTACACCTATCCACTTGAGCTTATTGTATTTG